TTGTTCTTGCATTTGTGCTTGATTTTGAAGATGAAATGCACAACTTTTTGTGCTTTTTGCTTCTTAGCTATGTCCTTGCATCAATAACGAAAACTTTCAAATACTAAAGATCATCAAAAAAACTTGGCAACATGTAGCAACCTAATTCATACAGACGGTTTTCCTAATTTTGTTTGAAACCTCATTGAAACACATTTACCTGTCGATGTAATGGTGGCCAATAGAAATTCAAGCAGGTTTTAGGATTTTCAATCTGTCAAGAACAAAAACATCATGGGTTGGTTTGTGCAAGAGATCAGCTATCAAATAAAGATTGACCCTGCAAGCAGAATCCTTTTCATCCCTAAACTCCTACTAGCTTCCTCAAAACTTTCCGCAGTTGGAGTATTTATGTAGGGYCAAGTTCCAAAGGAGGTGAGATAAATAGGAAAAATAACACTAATGATGCTGAATTTATGACTTGCTGCTTTCGTGCAAGAAAAAGGGTAGACAAAGGAGATAATTTGAGGGCACGCACAGGGCCTCTGAGAAATACAGCTCTTATAAATAACATATTCTATTTTTTTACAATACTTACTAGCTCTCTTCCCTTCTGGCTTGAATAGTTTGTAAAAAAAGTAAACCCTTCTTTATTGAAACTCTTCAAGAGGACAGTTCTAGAGGAAGGCTGGCCATCTCTGTAAATTGACAATTTTATAATTTTTATCTTTGCTACAAACATTTCTGAAATTCACTCAGACTTGGAATGAGTGTAAATTTAATTACCCCAACTATTCAAAACCAAATGATTGAAATATGAAACTGGGATTTTGAAGGAGTGAGAAAGAAAAAGACAATGGAGTTTTACATGGATGACAAACGAGTCCCAATCTATGCATTGCTATTGGTGAATAAAAAGAACGTTTCCAAAATAATATGGATAATAATTGCACACTTGCTWGATCATATCTTCATTTGATTGATTTGTTTAGGATCATTGCTTTTTGGGTTCTTTTTTCACATACTTGGAGCACGTTGATAATACCATGGCATTCGCTTCTTGGATCTCCTTGCAATCAACAGCCTCTTTGAACCAAAATTCGAACTGGCCCATCGGTTCTTTGGCAGATAAAGCGTCTTCAAGAAATAACCCTCCACTATTATAATCTACTCGCATTGAAGCAACATCCTTTGGTCCATCTTTTGAAGCAGACATGTCGGGTATGCGCCYAACGAACCGTCTCGATAATAGTGTTACTTTTGATGTTATTCTACGCAGAGATGAATTCATATGAATATGGTATYTAGCGATAACTGTACCACTGTATAAAACTCGAAAGCGTGCTAAGTCTTATGTAATAATGCGATTATAAAATGTTAAAATTTACATTACAAAGTGCACGTTGTTTGCGTGACATAAGTTTGTTCACTTTGACTGTAACGCGACATGACTTAGCTTGATATTTATGGTTCAACGATTTTTTAATTGGTGAATCGATGCAACCAGGAACACAAMTTAAAATGGACAAAATATGGCTGAAATAAGCTTTTGATTACAAGTTACTCATACAAGCTTAAGATCATTTCTCGACCACCAGGAGACCTGCACAACGTAACTTAGAATTATACAAAAAAAGATTTATCTTTAAAATATTTACCACAAAAATATACATGATAACACTATTAGCAGTTTGAGTTATTTACCTTCGAAATTATGTGTTATATGGAGCTATTAGATCACAGCTTAAATAATCCAGAACCAGATCCAGAACTGACCTGTCACGCGCCAAGGTCGCCTAAATTCTTGYTGCGGTAGACTGGTGCGAAAGTGCAAATTTTTTGCAAGGGGAGGGGTGGGATAGGTCACATATTTAGAATGGGATAAAATGGAATAGAAATGAACAGATCACAATTGAAATGCAACACAATAGCCAGGGCTAAACATTTTAGTATATTTATATGAATGTACAATTCTAAATAAGATTTTTATTTATGAAACCATATAAAATCACTGTTTTTGATTTTGATTTACAAATTGGGAAAGATTTCCWGATAATTGTCTTTGGTTTTGCTCAAAAAGATAACCCATATTGGATGCTGGTTTCTGAAGCAGTTGAGCAAGCTGTCCATGTAATTCTTGCAATGAGGGAAGTTTAGAAAACTCTTGAGTTTTGGATTTTGARAGCAGCCTATTTTCAACTTTAGCTCCTAAAAGCTCTAGTTTTGATTGCTTCTTAGTTGCCTCAATCAATATTTTGACTTTGGGTTCATTTGAATACACAATACAAGTTGTGCATGAAAACAATGGTACTATATTCTTGTATATGGAATCCTCCAAAGCTTTATGAGTCACTCTGTTTGGGAAGACTTTYAGTGCAATATCTTGCTTTGAAAGGTTAAAGCGCAGATCTTCCCATTCTTCTGTATTTAGGTCACCATACTGAAACACAGCTACCATGCTATTGTTCTCAAAGATACTTTTGACATTTGAAGCRATCATCAGGTTCTTGGGATTGGGCTGTGAAATCAAAACGACAAAATAATTATGTAAAAAAAATGTGCACCTATTGATAGCCTGCTAAACACAAAGGACATTATATGACTGCCATATTATACTTACTTGACACACACACAACACTATGAGATCATAAGCATAAAAACAAAACTGCCTGATAATTATATTTCTCTATTGAATTGAAAATAGTGTAATTCTAGAGCTCAACCTTAATTATAGCTCGCGCTTATTTTTTTTGTTTTGTTTACGCCATATCGTGTGTGGATTTGTAACGTTTTTTAGTGTTGACTCCATTAACCCTGATGATGGGCCTAAGGCCCGAAAGCTTGGTAATAAAATAACTTATTGGTTGATGAAACAAGATCAATGATATGCCTAAGCCAACCAACCAACAAATATTTGAAATATTTTATCTTTTTAATTTATTAAAATAAATTTATTAGCTTATATTCTTGGCCTTAAGATAATAGGTATATCGAGCAGCTCCTTTGCTTTTTTTCCTTTTTTTCTCTCTTTACTTTTGTTTTTATTTCTTTGTTTGCATGAAGCAACCAGAAGCTAGTATTAAGTGTACATTAAACTTAATCCTCTTTTTGAAGCACATGATATGCACTTACGATATTATATATTTTATGTTATTGGATAGTTTTTGCTTCAAGACAGCCATAAACTACAAGCAATTACGACAGMGGAGCAAAACATGTGCAATAATTACCTTGACAGGTCTCACTTTATTTCTGCCTGCTTTACAACGTGCTGCCAGCTTGGAAACWGTTGGTTTATAATTTATTTTTGCCATAGTATTCACGCCACGACTCAAAATGTACGCCCCTATATCAAAATACATTAAATAATGGATTTATAACACTTTAGATTGCAATTTTTAGGATATCCTGCACGAACGCACCTTGTAATGTTTGAGGACTGGAGATCCAACTTTGAATTCTTGCCGCCATCTTGGATTTGCACTCACTGCRGATCGCGGGGGAATGAGTCATTTACACAGGAACCCCATTAACTAGAATTCATTTCCTTCGTACGTTCGCGATTTGAATTATTTGCGAATTGAATTTTTTGTTCCTTTTATTTCACTCGTTTTTTTTTCTTGTCATTTATTCGATTTAATTTTCATTTTATATTCATTTTTAATGCCATGGATTCAATCTTTCGTTCGTTTGGCTTCAGATTTATGTAACGGCTCTCTCACTAAATTAAATACTTTTGCAACATTCCAATTCAATTAAAGAAAGAGTTCCACAAGACATATCATGACATATAACGAATAGCTAGCCTTCCCATTTATTTAATTATATCATGAACAAGTAAATCAAAGTTTCAGCTAATAAGCGGAAGAAATACTTTTCAGGTTTCCCGAGGGAGAGCAGGTACTTCAGCAGGTACACGTCGATTTTCAGTCATAAATAGAAGTAAAATTGTTGTTATCGGCTTTGGAACGTATACTTCATAGTTAACCTGGGATAGTTTGATCAGCTAATTTACTACAGCAGATTTTAAAACTGGCTTCATAATATTAAAACTCATTCACCAATAAAGAAATATTCTTGTTCTTTTATAGTTTTGAAATCATTTCGTTAAAAAATTGCACGCCTATGAAGGGTGTGGCTCTTCCGAAAAAAAACATGCATCACTCAATTTGTGTACTTAAATTCAAATATTAATTAACTGGATAAATTTATAGCTGAGCTATTTATCCACCAGGAATTAATTGAAATCCGACTTATTGCCGAGGTGCGAGCAGTTAAAGGAAATAATAAGATCTCGACCTTAGTATGGGAGGGATAATCAGTACGATACGTGACTTAAAAGTCATTCTTAGAGACTTGAAAATAACGTTGAAATTCACAGCTAAAATTGTTCTCAAAGTTCATGGAATCGTTGATGATATGGAACAGACAATGCAAGATCTGAAGCAAACCGTTAATGGACTATCAGCACGTCTGCCGAAGAGCCCGTGYCACAAAAGCATAGACGAGGCGTCAATGGCTTATKTAAACGATGTTGTTCATACCATAGAAAGCAAGGCTGAATCAGTAAAAGCTTCTTTGTCTAACGCTGTTACAGTTCTCACAAGCGATGACTTGATCAAGAACACAAGCGCTGCATGGGAGAACTTGGTAAACCAAAGCAAATTGAATGAAGTGGTAGGAAAATGGGCGAGCGTTCCTGAAGATCTTGGTGATTTGGTCAAACAAGACTACGAAAAATTAACCAATTATCTTCAATGTTCAGAGGAAAACCTTTCAAAGGAAAAAATGGACGCGGAAAAACCCTCTACAGAGATAACACATTCTTCCTCAACTGAAAATTTGTATATAGAAAATTCACCAAAGAGAAGTGAGATGATTTCAGGTGATGATATGGACAATACAAAGAAGATAATTTTCACAATCCCATTGACTGTCAGGAAAGAGTGCGCGCTTCCTGAGTTTGTGATCGAAAAAATAATTGTAGACAAAATTGAAAAAGGAAGAGCTTTTGATATCTCTGTCCCTACACACTTTTCAGATTGTTCAAACTGGTTTTCTGCCATAGTAAAAGCAAACCAAGAAGTGGACAGGAAGCTTGACTTGAACGAAAAGAATACAACTAGTTCCATTCTTGAGCAGTGTGAAAATATAAAACCAAATATTGAATTCCAGAGGAGATGTGTGTCTTTACTTCTTGTGAATTTGCTTCAAGGACTTGCAGACAATGAAACAATTGGTGAATTAAAAGGAAGCAGCTTACTGGTTAATGCAACCAGTATGCCATTTAAAGAGATTTGGGCAGACAAGCTTATCCAATGCTTATTACACTAATGCGTGCCATTGGTATGGCAGACCCATTTCATGTCCATACTACATACAGAAAGAATTTCAAATTCAGATACTGAAAAGAATGACTGGCTTGAATTTTCTCAACCAAGTAATATAATATGATTCAGAATAATGGTGAAATAATGTAAAGTAAGAAAACAAAGTTATGTTTTTCAAAAAAAGGTACTTAAGCATTGCACCCATACCATGTCGTTGAGGTGAAGTTCAAGTCTCGACAAGTAAGAGGGCATGGGCTCAGAAGCAGATTTTTATAGATGAGAAAAATTGTTTTAAAGACATCAAAGAAAAAGTTACTGAAAATAAAGAATAATGTTTTTTAGGAATTTAAATATAAGCATCACGCTTGACCATTCTTTAATGATGGGGATTACTAACATACCCATGTGGGATCATGTATTATGAGGATGACTAAGGCATCATACTAGAGTATATATTTCAATACCGAACACTCTTCACGACTTTCCATATGCAAGTTCAGTGACCATGAACAAATCATTGAACCAAGGCATCAAGGAACACTGATCACAGATCWTTTCTTTTATGCTCAGTGTTCCTTGACGCCTCGGTTCAATGCTTTGTTCGTGGTCACTGAACCTGATTATGGAAAGTCACGAATGAAAGATATTTCATTTCTAATACTATCAATATATTGTTATCAAATCTCATAATCTCAAATCTTAGAACATCCTTCATCACTTTTAGAGTTAATCTGTGCCAAAACATCAAATAGATTTGCTATACTATCAATGATAAAATCTGGTTTTACATTCTCCAAGTCATGTCGGGTTTGAGTCCCTGTTAGAACTGCTACTGTCCAACACCCAGCATTTTTACCTTCTTGAATATCTGCTTTTGTGTCACCAACTTTAACAACTGAATGAACGTCTTCCACACCGCAATGCTTCATCGCAGCGTGTATCATGGCAGGATTTGGCCGGCCGTGCCCGACCTTTTCTGCACTAGATACGTAATCAACAAGGCCACTCCAGTGTAAATTTTCGACAATTGTTTCAACTACAGAATGGGGAAATCCGCTCCCAACGGACACTTTCACTCCATTTGAACGGAGTTCCTTGAAAACATTACTTGTTTCCGGTATTTCTTTGTTTATAAATTGGAGGTGAGAGTTTAAAGATTTCTTAAAATCCACRAAGATATCATCAACTTCACTCTCTGTTTGTCCAAGATTTGTAAGGACATTTTTGATTGCTTCTTTCTTCTCCATTCCTCGCACTTTGTTTACTTGTGTTAGACTGATATCAAGTCCGTGCATTTTAAATCCTTCCTGCATAGCCACTGCTACTAAAGGGACGCCATCAACCGAGTCATCAACAGTTGTACCAGCCATGTCGAACACAACAAGTTCGACCGCCATCTTGAAATAGATCCGATCGAGAGGGACTGAGAACAAAATATACATCTGGAGCCCGCGTAATTTTGACTATMAACCAGCGGTAATTGAAAATGGCGGACGCACTCGGAAAAAAAGTTCTGAAGGTAAATTTTTGTTTTTCTTTCAATTCTTGATCATTAAGCGACTGATGAATAGCTAGTTGCTATGGGAAAAACTTATCATAAAGCGTATTTTGAATGAAAGGGGACAATTCAGAGGCCATATAAATATTAGGTACAAATACGTCAGTGTCATGTCAGCTGTTTTTGTGGAAATCTAGTGGCTGGATCTCTGATTTAGATTTCATTTTATCACGAGGTATTTTTGCTTCACTGTTTCAAACTTTCGTTTCTAAACAACTAGGTAAACAGCCAAAACAGACAAAATTGTTGACGTGTAATTAGCGACAGATGTCGATCAAAACTATTTGAAATGCGTGACATGTAGACTGCAAGCTTTTAAATAAACTTAATGTTTCGTTCCATTTTCAGATCCTTTGCATACATGGATACAGGTATTTTCTGTGAACAGAAAACAGTAATAATGATTACATTAATTAATATCTGATCGTGATACTGTATGCCATATATGAAATAATATTTCCACTTAGTGATCGCAGCTATGTGTGACTATACAAATCCTTTACACTAGCCTGCGTGCAGCCAAACCGAAACTGTCGAAAGTCGTTTTGGTTCAGCTGCATGCTGGCTACCTTTAAACTCTGAAACCAAATATTCTTATGACTCAAAAAATAATGAAACTTTCTTGAATTGGTGGATTCAGTCATTTTTTAGTATGGATTTTTGGATATTTTTATTGGTGGATTTGCAGATTGTCCATAACGTAAACTGAGGATTTGATGAACTGATTATAGATTTTAAGGGTTTTTTCTTGTGSGTTTGAACAATTTTTCTTAGTAGATTTGCAGATTCCAACACCCCATATTACCCCCTCAGTAAAGGGGTGAATGATAATATATCAACTCAATGTTATCACACCAGCACAAGCACTTTATACAAGCACATTACTCAGTGTTACTGGAGCCAGGAGGTAGACTGCCTGTGGGTCATTTCCATGGAGACCTGTCAGATTGTTCTGGAATTAACCTGTCAGTCCTCATCAATGCCCATGAACTAAACTAAATTTCTATCTAATCTCTTTATGTAGTTTATACATGTATTAACCATGCATTATATTTTTTTTTATTAACAACAGACAAAATACAAACACTTGCAGAGAAAAACTTGGAGCTTTCAGGAAATGTGTTAAAAAATTACCCTTAGAATTTGGTAAATATCCAGTTATGATTTTATTTAGCTTGTGAAGTATATATTGCTATGAATTTTTTTATAAAATAATTTACAATTATTATATTTTTGTATGATGACCAGTTTATACCACTGCACCAAACAGAATTCCTAGAACTATAACTGGTGAGATTGCAAGCCCTGAAGAAAATGGTAAGAAAAACAAAGGTAGCTTGCATTTGGTATTGATAATAATTGCTATAGTAAATCYACTTTAGAGTGTGGATGGTGGTTCTCCAGTCCAGATGACTCCTATGATCCTTTGGCACCAACAGAGCTCTGCAAAGGATTTGAGGATTCTTTAGAGCTAATAAAAAAGACATTTAAAGAGCAAGTAGGTTTGAATTTCATCAATGCATTGTTTGAAATAATACCTGGTAATCTCTTAATAAATCAAAAATGATTTCTTCACATACCAAATTGTCACTATGAGATCATATGACGTCAATATGATGTCATATGTATCATTCTATGGTTTTCACACTTTTTTGGCTTTGAAAGGGGGGTCATGGGCACCCATGGATACACCCTTGTGTAGTATATGCTATGCACTATAGATACTCAGTCTGACATAATCTTTAGTTATTAATGTGCCAACTAGAAGATGATTGGATATTAGAACAAAACAACTTGTGAAAAGCCTTTCTGATTGTGGTTGGCACATCAACATTAAGTGATTGTTTTTAAACAAATGCTATTTGGATTTTGTTGCACATTACTGTTTTTGTTGTTTTTAGGGACCATTTGATGGTATGTAGTACATTGTGTATGGGTATTTACTGCTGAAAGGTAGAAGTCCTTATTTATTTAAGATACAAGTAAGACACAAGTGGAAGAATATTTCTWCTCTTGCCATCATTATTGCTAGTGTTGGATGCTGTATTTTTATTGGGAAAAAAATTTACCATGTAGCTATAACAATGATGCATGATAAATGTTGTTTTTTAAAAAGGTGTGTTTGGATTCAGTCAAGGAGCAAGTTTTCTTTCAATAATATGTGCTTTACGAGATCAAGGTATAACCAATTTGCAGGCTTGTTAAAGCTCATCAAAAATCATTCCCTTGAATTATTTTGTCCTATACAAAACACTTAGGGTCTAGAGGCTTACATGTAAGCTTTGATTCCCAGACCAGGCAATCAATCCCTTATCAAGGCCATGATGAAATAGAGACAAAAAAGCCTTCTTTGTTTGTTGTAGGAATTTTTAGGCTGAATTCAAGCCTTTATGTGAGGTTAGACATATGAAGTAGGCTAAATGGTAATTTCTTATCTACAGGTTTGTTTCATTTTGATTTTGCTATCTTGGTGGCATCATTTAAGTCAAGATCATCTGCCCATGATGTTTACTATCAGAAACCAATAACTTGTCCAACACTTCATGTTTATGGAGACACAGATAAAGTTATCCCTAAAGGTATTTCACTCAACCTTGAATTGAAGGTAGATTTACTCAATCTTGAATTGAAGGTAGATTTGTCTTTCATTCAACCGAGAAAACCAGTGAGTTTCCAATGACAGATACAGAAACCATGGACAATGGTTATTCCGAATGATTATTCAATGATTATTTCAGCGCGCTTAAAGTGCACATGACACCTTTTAGAAAAACACTTTTATCCGAAAGTTTACACGCTGCCAACTACTTCTGCGAAAAAAGAAATAGATTTTGAATTGTATTTTCTGAGTTATAGACATTTGAAAATTGAAAATGCAAATGAAGTGACGTCAACTAAGGAATTGATCCAGTCTTTTTACATTGTTTGCGCTATGCTKTTCTTGGTTGAAGAGCACAAATCATCAATCATAGTAATAATTGAGAGCTGAAAATGCTTTTTCCAATGTAACAAAAAGAATAACGTTCTCTTTCATGATTTTDYATATTAAATCATTCCTTAGTAGACGTCACTTCATTTGCATTTTCTAAGTTTTAATCGCCCATAACTTACAAAATACAATTTGAAATCAATTTSTTTCTTCACAGAWGWACTTAGCAGTATTTTCTCTTTTGGATGAGAGTGAATTTCTAATGGTGTCATGTGCACTTTAAGAGGAGATGCACTGTGCGCTGTGCTGACACCATYGCGTATCGGGCGGGCGCTCAAGAAAAGAATGATTTTCGCTAATTTTTAGACTTAAATGTGTTGTGTAAAAAAACAATTTCACACGGTTCACTCGAGTTTTGAACATTTTATGGCATCAAAAGTGTGTCAGTAAGAGGACATACAACTTAAAACCATGCGCAATTTGTTAAAATCGCACAATGACACAGAATTCGGAGCATTTCTGTATTTCGAACTCATGTATGCACTGCCCCTGGTTTCCGGATTCCATGAAAAATGTTGGCAAGGATTCTGGATTCACACATTTTACATTTTGAAGTCATAAAATTGGATTCCGGACTCCTCTTGTACATCGGATTSTGGATACAAAGACAAACTTGCCGGATGCTGTGTCATGGGGCGATTTTAAGCGCGCTAATTATTTATGCTTCCATGTAWGCTTAAGTTGGATCAATGCAAAGGTATGGCTACCTTTCATAYATAATAGCAGTGGAAAATATGGAGACTATTATTTTAAACATAAGATACAGCCAAAAAATTGTCCAGTTGATCAATCTTGAAATAAGTATTCACGTTTTACGATAACATGATGTAATTGATACAATATCTTAATTTTCGCTGTTCAAGGTTTCCATATATCATGGGAGCTTTTTTGTCAAACAMAAGCAAGCATTTTCGTTATTGAGTCCTTTTATGCATTTCAATTTTAGAGAATAGCGAAGAACTTGCAAAACTCTTTGTGGATCCAGTAATCTTAAACCACGCGGGAGGTAGGTGTAGTTTCACTTTCCTTTGTAGACGTTTTGGTCTGCTCAAATGAAATAACAAAAGCATACCAGAGCTTCAATTGAATCTTTCATTAAAACTCTTTATTTATTTATTTTTTATTTTCAGGGCATTTTGTTCCTGCATCTTCCGCACAAAAAAAAGTTTATTTAGAATTTTTAGAGAAATTTGTATCGGCTAAATAAATTGTTTAGAAAGTTGTGTTCTTACTTGTCTTCTTTTTATAAGAAAAAAAATGATTTGAGAGCAATTTATGTACATACGTKCGTATTGTKGACGCGCGCGTCAATGTTTTCATTTTCCCAAGCCAACTAACTTTGAAGATTTCGAAAAATCTTTTGTCAAAACCTAAAATGTCTGTCTGTTTTTTTCTTATTTTATTTCATTGTATCTTAAAGATTTGTCCCATGGTTTTCATGGTTATTCAAAAATGCTAAYAGAATCATGTGTCAGCCATCAATGTCGGCCAGATAATTGGAAATCGCACATTTTTATGGTAATGTACACGAAAACGGTGATCGTTTTGTATTCAAAAATATACGGACTGGTCATTGTTTTCGGTGGTTTCGCGTAAYTGTAGGCCTATTAACGCATGAAAACATCCGTATTTGTGTTTGTATTTTCTACGATCATCGTCTTCAAAATGTGTAGTTCGTGCATCCATTTTGAAAATGTTTTCGGAAATATGGTCATCATTTTCGGCGGTTTTGTGTCAACGATGGTGCGTTTGAAAATACACAGGTAGGTATATACGCTGAATAAAAAAGTCAACCAGTACTTTTATTATTTATTAGTTGTTTTGGAAAAAAGTTATTCAGCTTGTATTTTTTATCGTCATCTGTGCATTTTTCAGGATGTTTRACATATTTCAGGTGCAACGGTGTTTCACAGTGKCGCTAGTRCTAATCCTGAAGGCAACAWAGATGCTTGTCCTTTTGTATTCTTTGACTATCAATTGTTTTCACAAATATCTTGGGACAATGAAGTAGAACCGGCTTGCAATTCTTTGGAATTTGTCATTCGGCAATTAAATTCCCGCTCCTGCCGTGAAATCGTGATTTGTCACCCAATCGCATATAAAATGAGGAGTTTGGAAGCTCTCTTTCACTTGCATTTTGCAATCAGAGCGTCGAGTCAGTGCGTCAACACAGGTAAGATTTTAACCTTGTATTCAGGTTAGTTGCAGTATAGTTTTTAAATCTGCTTACTTGTGTTGACTTCTTTACTTTGAGTTTTTAATAATATCAAAATTAAGATTTCTCGCCAAAGAAACACTCCAGGCGAAAACGGAAATTTCAGATTGGAGTATGTTCATTTCAAAATTAGTTATTTAGGCGAACTTTAACGTGAAACTTTACTCGTACATAATTTAAGTTTCAGTTGTATTTGTATATTTTCTTTGCAAGAATATCTTTATAATAATTTGCGGTGTAATACAATTGTATTATCTGCAAAGGAGGCACAATTTTTATTCGACAAGTTTAACGAAGTTTCTCTCAACTGTGAACTAACTTTTTGTGTATATTTCAGTGTCCCTGTATTGCATTTCCTTGACAAAATATGAAGACTGTTGTGKTTATTCTTCTTGTTTTAAGCTTCGCCTCTATAGGTAAGTGGCAAAGTATCTTTTCAGTGTACTGTTTTATAAGCGAGTAGGAAAGTTTTGTCTTGTTCAACACCAACTTTGTTTGTGAACTGGACCTCGAAGTAAAATAACTGGTTATGTGGAATTAGCCTTCAATATTTGCTGCTATATGCGGTTTRWTGCTGCAGTTTATRAAGAATTGAAGAGCTTTAGCAGGTTTAAAAACATGATTGTTATAAACTCTGAGCTGTTGTCTACTATTTTTTCTCATAATTTTAGTAAATAAATGTTATTGTTACTTGTCTGGAAGCCTTGTTTAATGCGAATAGATTCTAAAAATTCGTTCTTAATATTTTCATAATTTGTAGGTGAGACCATGTTATTCGGTCAGGGCGTGTTCCTSGTTTCTTCGCCAAGCGACTTCCTGTGTAAGGCGTTTTCGTTCAGCAATCCCTTTGCCTCCAAACCACGTGTTCAACTTGCCCTGTTTATGAACGAGACCTCTTTTACCTATGAAGCTGCGGTGAACTGGGTCGAGAAAGTCAGTACTTCCGGTTTTACTGCTTGTGTGACTGCCTCTGGTCCTATATCCGGTAACAGAACGATCATTCTTCAATGGCTGGCCTATACATCGGTCCCTAATGGATTATTCAGTGAGAAAGTCTTGAACGTTTGGACAACCGGAAGCAAGTGCGTTGAGATTGATTTCTTTGCGATAGCAGGAAAGGTGAGTTGATAAATGATGCAATTTTAAAGTAAAATAAGTTGGAAAATRGAAAATGTTGTTCTGGAAAGGAATAGGAAAAAAATAGTGTGTGACTTGTTCTTAGTTGTGGGTCAGTTTGTGTGCAACACTTGTAGGTCCAGGCGCATAAATCTTGTGAGTCCTCGTTCACGGCGGTGTGTTTCGTATAGTTTCCATGTATATCGTTTCCGTCATCAAAAAATGAAAAGTAATTCAAAAACGCCTCAAAACCTATCAATTTGGACGAGATCTCGACCTCGTTCCCAGGACCTTACGAGCTCTCCGAGGCTGAGGTTACACGTATATCGGTATTTTGTTAACAGCATATTCATTTTTGCGTTTTTTTTTTTTTTTTTGTTTTTTTTTGCAAAAGAAATCGTTAAGATTAGTTTCATGTTTATGYAAAACTTCTAATTATTCAWCAGAGCATAAGTGAATACAAAGCTAACGTGTTTCTGATTATTCTTTCCCAGACGTTTGCAAAAGTACCCTACGTATATGTAACTGCTATCCACGCACAAGTCCGACAGAAACGCGATGCAATGAGTGTCTGGGCTGAACAAGTTACCAAGTCAGGCTTTAAGATATGCCTCAGAGAACTGAAGAACTTTGATGGAATTCACAAATCTATCACTGTTGTAAGTAATATGCACTTTGAGGAACTGACTCCACGAACTCTACGTGAACTTAACATGAAAATTAACAATTTCATTTTATTTTCATTAGGACTGGCTTGCTATGGAAAACGCACCTAGTGGTTGGACTGTTGGCACAGAAGGTGCAATTCAACTTCCAAACACAGAACCCTTGACAGCACAGACCCATTATAGCTTCTGTAAGGTAAAAAAAACCCTGACGAAAAACTTGGCTTGCGTATTGTAGGATACTGGAAAAGACTGATTTTCGCTCGATGAAACGCGAAAAAGTTGTAAATARTACGTTTAATGCATTGGAGATGTCTTGCTGGCTGGTTAATCTTGCTGGTTGACAGATAAATACTTGCGTATAGAATATATTGTCGATTGTTTTTGATGGTTTGGTAGCTTAGCATTTTGGTTTGTTTGTTGGATTGTTTCAGTTRGAGTAGCTTAGTTAGATAACGTTGATTATAAGCCGGTTAATTTGGCTGTACGGCCAGTTGATTGGTCGGTCGTTGTTGTTTGGCCCTGCACTTTGAATATACTTACAGTCTCAGCAAGAAGCTATATATTCTTCGTTTTCACCATACGTCACAGCGGCCATCTTGGATGAACTTCAACAAAAGATTTCTCATTAGTATCTATTGTTCATTCCTCCAACATGGCCGGCGGTCTTTTATCTTTTGAATCTCATGGGAATGATTGAAAACGATCAATACCCGTACTAGGATGAAAATATCAAGACATTATGGTTTCAATTAAGTAATTTGATTATTGTATCTTCTAGGTTGTTTCATTTCCAGAAGAGTTCTACAGCGCGCCTGTCATGATAACCACTGCACGCCATTTTCAAGACGTAAACAACAAAAAGTCCATCGCGCCTCAGGACAACGCAATCACGGAATGGGTCGAGGTAAGAATAACTACAATAACCTAGAGACATAAAAACTCGTGAAATTTTGAGTTTTCTTTTAACATCAAAAGGCGTAATTGTTTTATGGTGGGATTTTTAGAAATAATGCATCTTGCTTAACGCAGGAATCTGAGTCTAGTGTGATAATTATTTTTTACGATCAATTGATAGCAAGTTTCAACGACTCAATTTACTGTGTGCATGAAAGACATTCAGCCGTATAGTGGACACCATGACCCTGTAACCATCGATTACATGGCGATTGGATGTAAGTATATCATCAAATACAATGAAATACCTCGAGTATACTATCGCACTTTTGGTTACAGCAATATGCAGAGCTTATGATCTT